AATAATGAATACAGTTTATATTATCTTACCATTTCAATTAAAGAAACATTTATAATAATTGTTTAAATACTGTGACAATGTCCAGTATATAAAAAAATTTTACTTTATGTCCAGTTTCATTGTTATATTTTGAGTTTATTTACAAAAGAAGAGAAAAATAAAAGTTAAAAATTAAACAAGTCATTGTTTTTTTATTTTCCTGAATTAAAAATTCTTCAATACAAGATATAACAAAACATATTTCAATTAATATTATTTTAATATATATAATTCTAATATTGTTATTTTTAAATATATGCTAATGTTTAAAACATCATCTAATAACTAATAAAATAAAATTAGAAATGTATTATTATTAATTATCTTACCTGCAATTAAATATTATAAGTGCTTCTCATTTAATTTTCATATGAAAACATGATTGTTTTTATTATTTGTTTTTTAAGTATATGTATAAAAAATAAGACACTAATTTAAAAGAGAAAAAAATATTTGAAAGTGCCTTTAGGTTTTATCAAAAGTTTTTAGAAAATGTCAATATTTATCATTTCAGTACTTGAATGTCTCAAGATTAGTGCAAAAAAGTATGATTAATACACAAGTTAATAAAAATAACGAAAAAATACATTAAACCTAGAAATATTTAGTTTTAATTAATAAGTTTATTAGGTGATTTTAAAATATTTTTTTAATATGTTATAAAATNGCATTACATTCCATTTGCAAATAAATTATTAGAAATTATTGATAATGCAAATGTAAGAGTAAATCTCATAATATTTTACTGGTTGTCTGGTACAGTTTAGCTTTATATAGGCATTGTGTCAGAAAACAATAAGTACTGATTGAATGTTTCATTCAATATTGTTAGAATAAGAAACTAATAATAAAAAATTAATTCAAAATTATAAAATATTTATTAGGGAACACATAAAATCTGTCTACAGTGATATTCAGAGGAACAAGAAAAAAATTGTTACAGAGAAATTTACTGTCATAATGAGAGTTTTTAAGAAATTATATTTTAAAATTAGTTTAGTTTTACTTATATCATTTTCGACCTGGAAGATTCAGGTTCTGGCTGATTTTAGATTTTGACGTTTAATATACACTGTAGAAATACACAATAAAATCCCTTAAATCTTGTATTAGAGGGGACTAATATGTTTTCCTGTTCTAATATTATCTAACTTTATAGAAATAACCCTAAAGTCTGACAATGTTAAAGAGGAAGGAGATACTTCCTTTAATGAGAATGCTTTGTTTAATTGTGTGAATTAGCAGGAGGCCACTGGGATGATCCCTAATGACCACTTAATCTGCACGGGTTGGAAAAATCCACTCTCAGTTTATCGGATAGCTTAGGAGGGCAAATCGAGGTGGGAGAGGTCGTGACGAGGTGTCCAAATAACTACATGGGTTGAACAATACTAACACATTTAATAAACAAGTAAGAGATTATACATATCTAAGGAAAAAGCATAAACAACACACGCGTAAATAATAAAAGGAATCTATTCTATATCTATGCTCTAACCTAATACCAAAGACTGAGAGAGACCTCTCTAAGAGGGACGCAAGGGAGAGAGGGACAAAATTTGGGCAAGGGTATACCTCGTAGGATTTGATCTCTTCGTATAGGGTGTTGGTAGGGGACACTGGGATCGGCGGTTTCTAATCGAAGTTCCCTTGGATGGTGATATAGAGCGATGGACGGTATGGTGGTATGGAACTGATGTCCCTGGATGTCCACTCGGCTATGTCTGTAGAGGGCTCTGTTGGAGATCAATGTACGCTCCATTGATCTCCAACTGTAGAGATCCTTGTTAGCTGTCCACTGAGGGTGTTGCTTTGGTGGTGTCCTCTTCGGCTGTTCGCTCGGAGGGGTTACTTCGGCAGGGTCCTCTTCTGCTGTCCGCTGAGGGTGTTTACCTGGCGGGGTCCTCTTTGGCAGTCCGCTCGGAGGTGCAAATCCGACCCCTTTTTATACACAGTTAGTGTAGGAAATATCTGGGACTTTTCTGACGTAATTGTCTTGGCTGGGTATGCTGTATACTTGATTTTTGACAGTTCTGCAGTCTCTCCCGTCATGGTGACATAGTATTACCGTCTCCCGTCACAGTGACGCAGTTATGATCATCGACGTCACTTTGACTGACCAGTCAGTATTAAAGTTGTCATCACTTGAGGTGATGACTGGCCATCTCTGGTAACGTGATATAGTTTCTCACCAGACGGTCTACCCTTGCAGGTGACCTTTTTTGTTACCCTCCATACAGTAACAGTGGGCCGTCACCGTTAATTGGTTACTTATCTGCACCTTATATTTACGTTAGGCATGAACAATCCCCTGTTGTGAGGGGAGTCCTTCTTCCAATGATGAAAGTCGCCTTCGATGTGACGCAGTTTGGTGTGAAAATTTACAGTTGCGTCTAAATTCTCACAATTGTTTTAATAAGTATAATTTGCAACACTAAGCTATCCTGTTAATCTAATATAAATTTCATACAAAACTATATTTTTTATTGTTACATCAATAATTGTTGTACTGAGATTTGACAGTATTCTTTAAATCAATCATTTAAAAAATTTTTTATTTAGTTATTAAATATTAATATTTATGTAAAAGTGAATATTAACACTCCTGTAACATTGAGTATAATATAAAATTGTATTATTTAATGAAATATTTTAATCTTGTTTTATTTTTGATATTAGTTTGTGAGAAAGTTGAATTAGTACCAAAATACAGTAGTTACTGTATCTTTGGACACTTTTATTTAAATCTATTTTATGAGCAATTTTAATCTCATTGAAATTGTTTATTTTTGTTATCTTTAAATCTGTCATATCCATGTTTTTAAACTGATAGAGTAGTTTTGTAGTAGAGGAAATTATACTATAATTATTTGACTATATTCTATAGTCAAAGAAAAATGATAGAAATGCAAAAACTGTATACATGTATTTTAAACTAAAACTTTATTTTATTTTTTTTTGTACGTTAATTGACTAACCATTAACAGTAATAGATTTAACAGAAAAGAAATTTTGATTTTTGATTTTTACATTTTGTAGATAATAAAAGCTGCAGCTTTGAATCAGCACTGAAAATTCACTTTTGGTTCAGTGAACTTTATAAATATAATAAAAATATAATGGCAAATTAATTTGTTTCAAAGCTAGTAAATATTTAATATGTTATGAATTAATTAGTACTTACAGATGTTTTAACCTTTAATATTCTTGTTAATACAAAAGTAAACATCATTAGTTAAAAAACTTGCCTATTAATTGGGAAAAACAGAAAACACTTACATTTTTCCAGATTATTCTCAAATAATCTGTTTTTATATATAAAATTGTAATAAATTCATTGTATCTCTTTTCAGAAATATTTGTTTCTGATCATATCAGATTTCTTAATTACAAGTATTTGTAATTTCTACAGTAAAAACCTTGCTAAGTTGAACTGGGTTAACTTGAAGCTGTTAACATGTCCCGAATACAGTATATAGTGTTTTCTATATATGATCTTGTTAACTTGAAATTGTTGATACCTTTAACTCAAACCTATTTTTCTGAGTATCCTCCATCCTTTGATAGGTTATTGATCTTTATTTTGTCTTTACATTCCATGTGAAGACAGACAATTAAGGTGAACAAATGCTATGGCTTTGTCCTGAACAGAACAGCATGCCATTACAACCTTGCTTCAACATTATTTTATGGATACAAGAGCGCTGACTATGACTGCTGCTCTGACAAGAGGGTACCTTGACAATGCCCTTAAAATTGCCATAAACTGGATGCAAGTTTGTAATCATTCTGTGAACAAATTCTTGAGAAATGGTTTGATAACAGAAATTTACAGCCAAAAAATATTTTGAGAAAATCAACATATTAAACTTGTTAACTCAAAGATGGGTTTTTTTACTCCTTAGACTTTGACTTAGAAGTTTTATTTTATTAAAAATTATTGCTAATGTAGCTGATTATAGCTGTTTTCTAATATAAAATGTTGTTGTAACATAATTACCTGCAAAACTGTTTTTTGTGGTTTTAACAAATCAACAGAAAAAAAAGCTATTTTGAAAATATAGCATTTATAAAAAAGAGAGAGAATTTTTGTTTTCATAAGACTTAAAAATTTAATAATAGTTGTAATATAGTCTTGTAATAAAGAAAAACTTTTCTTAAAAAATTTTTTTAACTAGCCAAAACTTATAAATTTAGAAATTAAAATGATTTTAATAGTAATAAATTTTTTAAATTAATATTTGTTGTTTTTTATCTCAAATAGTATTGTATGATTTGAACTTTGTTTTTAACTCAAAGTTCTAAAACTAATCAAATTCAAGTTTTTTCTTGTACAAAAAATTACATTTCAGTTTAATATGATATGCCCAATATTTAATAATACACACAAATTACTCAATCTTAATTTATTATAATCTGACAATTTTGGCAAATCATTAAATTTTATTAGTAGCTGGATTAGTGGTTTTGTTTTGTATATCAATGTCATTTGAAAAGTATTATTAATTCTTTTTATTAGAACTATTTCACACAGCAAATGGAAAAATTACAAAAATTATTTAAACCATTTTAATATTACATAGATAGATGTTTTCATGTGTTTTTCACAAAACATGAAATTTTATTATTATTATTATTAAAGTTGTCATCACTTGAGGTGATGACTGGCCATCTCTGGTAACGTGATATAGTTTCTCACCAGACGGTCTACCCTTGCAGGTGACCTTTTTTGTTACCCTCCATACAGTAACAGTGGGCCGTCACCGTTAATTGGTTACTTATCTGCACCTTATANTCACAAAATGCACCATAAATATATTATTAATATATATGGATTCTGTAAAGATGTTTTTGAGATATTGTTATAAATTTAATAATAATTTGACTATATCTTTATTTCATAATTAAGTTTTTTAAACACAAGTTATTTTATAAGTAAATTAAAGTATCGTCTTTAATAGGTGTGCCTCCATTTGCCCGACCTGGTTATCATGGATTTGGAGCTGCAGGAAGCAGTTTTGGAGGTTTAGGAGCTCTGAGTAAGTACCATTTTTCTTCTTAAATGTTCAATGTATCTTGAATTACATTTAAAATTTTTAAGTAAGAAAATTTTGGTTTTCTATAATTTGTGTAGTTATTTTTCTTTTTGAACAATTCTTATTATTTTCTTTAAAAAAAAAAATTATTTTGACCAGATATTGCTTCATTCCAGATACTGTTAATGTTTAAAATCTTAATAGTTAACACACACATTACAACCAATACTTAACTAAAATTCATGGTTAACTGTTAAGTTAAAAAGTTAAGTTTCCATATGCATTTTAATGTCATAAAATAGATATTAATTTTGAGTTAAGACAAAATATTTATAAGTTTATATTAAGAGAAGATTGGACCAGAGGTCTAAATAGCGTAATTGGCAAGACATCCATACGGTGAGTGGGAGTTGCGGGTTCAAGTCCTGCTCTGCACCTAATTTCTTTCCAGTTTAATCTAAACTCATTTAATTAAATTATAATTATTAAATTTAATATGAGATAGTGCCTAATGCCTTCCTTTAGTGCCAAATTTATTAGTAAGTTATAATTATAGCCCAATGTTGTATGGCAGTTAGAGGGATAATTATAAGTTTACATTGTTTGTGTTTGTGTAAAAAAAAGGATTTATGTAATATCAGGTAACCATAAAAGTTTTGTTGTTTTTTTTATTCTGAAAAAGAAATGTGAACAAATATAGAAAGAAACCAATTTATTCATCAAAATTGTTACCCTCACACACAATAACCTTTTCCCAATAGGAAACAAGCTTATAAATACCATTTTTGTAAAAATTTGAATTTTTATAGGCAGAAAAATCTCTCAAATTTCTCTTCCACAGCCTCTCTGTTTCTGAATTGTTGATTCTACAGATGATTGTCTAGGCTAAAAAAGAGGTGGTCACCACATCAACTGATATCTGCCAATAAATAACACTGACTATTTGTATGGGATTGCTTACTTGTTACCAAAGAACCCATTTCTGGACCACTGATGCAAATGTAAATGAATAGTTTTGTCATTGACTTAGAATCTTTGCACTAATGTCTGGAATGTTTCAGCTGAATCACTTTCATTTATGACTTTCAATTCATCATCATCAATGACAGACTTATGATGATGAACTGAAAGCCATAAATGAAAGTGATTCAGCTGAGACATTCCCGTCTCAAAGAGCTAGGTGACCGCATGCCACTGCAGTTACTTCAATGCTTGAGAACACTTGCGAGTCATACAGTTAAGGAGGACTTACTCAAAAGTATTTGGTTATCCTGTCTTCCCGCAGGTATGCAGAAGATACTGACCGTATCTGAGGGCAACGTCAAATTCCTCACTAAGATCGCCGACCGTCTTAGCGAACTATACCCTCAGACACCAAACATCTCTGCCATATCTATCTACAACCCCCACCACAAACGACCCAAGATCACTGCGCTTGAAGCAAATCACAGAGCTCTCAGTACAAATCTCTGAGATGTCACAACAATATGGTCATTCTCCAACTCCCTGCCATCACCCAAGCCGTGTCAAACACATTCGACACTCCCCACCTACTGCCTAACAATATCTGCTAGTACCATATGAAATTTGGCACAAATGCCTGATGATGTCGACCACCTTGTTCACTGGGAAACGAAAATGGGAGTCAGTAGACACAGCGACTGATTTGCGGCTTATTCATCACTGACGTACGGTCAGTGATGAATAAGCCACATTCCTGATTAAACACTAATGCCAACGTCTCCGTTTACCCAGCTTAACGTCTTCCAAGACACAGTGTAGAAGATTACCAACTCTTTGCAGTGAATGGAACAGCAATCGAAACATATGGCCATGCGACAATCACACCTGATTTTTCTCTTCAACAGAATTTCACATGGCGATTCATTGTTGCTGACATTACACAATTGTTAATAGAAGCTGACTTTTTATCCCATTATGGACTTATTCCAGACCTTCACAACAAATGTCTCATCAACTCAACCACGAAACTGCTAAGCCATGGACATATTCGCAGCGTCACTACATCATCTGTCTGGACTATTGCTGGCGACTCACCATACCATTGACTAATGAGCAAGTTTCCCAAAATAACATGTCCATCTCCAACCATTGCACCCATCTGGCATTCCACGGTCCATCACATTATCACACCTGGACAGCCAGTACACTGCAAACTCCAGCAACTTGCACTGGATAAGTACATACTGGCTAAGCGCAAATTTGAGTTCATGCTCTCTCAGGGAATCTGCCAACTGTCCACCAGCAGCTGGTCATTGCCATTACACCTCTTTCCGAAAAAGGACCACCAGTGGTGACTACCACTACCATCTACTTACAATCTACTTAACACATGAACTGTTCCCAACTGTTATCCTGTTCCTCAAACAGAGGATTTCACATCTACTCTCCGCGGTTGTAGGTGTTTCTCAACTGTTGACCTAGTCCATGCTTTTCACCATATTCCTATAGTCCCGGAGGATATCCCTAAGATGGCTGTCATCACATCGTTTGGACTATACGAGTTTAACTTTTTGTCTTTTGGTTTGTGCAATGCTGCGCAAACATTTCAATGCTTTATGGACGAAGTTACCAGTGACCTCAACTTTTGCAATGTATTTATCGACGACATACTCATAGTGTCCTGAGATGAAGCCGAACATCTGCACCACTTACAAAAATTGTTTACCAGACTTTTCAACTATGGAGTTGTAATCAATGCATCAAAATGTGTATTTGGCAAACACGAAGTGCAATTCCTCGGGTATCTAGTCAACCCAAAAGGAATTTGTCCACTACCGCAAAAAGTCAAGGCAATTATGAAGTTTCCGAAGCCAACTACTGTCTGTGATTTACGCCGATTTTTGGGACTGGTTAATTTTTATTGCCGTTTTGTATGCAATGCAGCTCACATAACCATAGAACTTAACAAACTCCTCCAGGGCAACCTGAGTCCAAAAGACCAATTCAAGTGGACCCCCGATGCTGACAGTGCCTTCCACAATGTAAAAAACACCATTGCTAGTGCTGCACTCTTGGTTCACCCATCACAAAATGCACCTCTATCCTTAATGTTAGATGTGTCATCCATCACTCTGGGAACTTCCTTACAACAGATGATCGATGGACACTGGCAGCCATTAGCATTCTTCAGTCAGAAACTCTCAGAATCACAAAAAACGTGGTCCACGTATGACCATGAATTGTACGCTGCTTATGCTGTCTATCAGGAAGTTCAAATACATGCTGGAAGGAAGGCAATTTATCCTATTCACCAACCATAAACCATTAACTTTCGCCCTGAAGCAAAAATCCCGAGAAAGCATCACCCCGACAGTTTTGCCACTTAGATTTTATAGCACAGTTCATTTTATGGACATCCGTCATGTCAAGGGAGTCAGCAACATCCCTGCAGATGCTTTGTCTCATATAGTCTATCGTCTATCACACGGGTGATAAATTTCCCGGCACTCGTCTCCACACAGGAATCCGGCAACAAACTCAGGAAACTCCTTTGTTTGAACACAGGCCTACAGCTAAAACGGATTACCATTCCAAACACATGCCTACAGCTAAAACAGATTACCATTCCAAACACTATGGCACAGCTTTACTGCGATACATCCACACTCATCCCCATCCTTTTATCACCAAAAACTTCTGACATCAGGCGATTGCCTCACTACATGGTTTGTCACACCTGGGGGATGAGAGCCGTATGTCATCTCGTTAAGAAGGCCTTTGTGTTGCCCGACATCAAGCGTGACTGCAAGAAGTTTGTGCGAAACTGTATCATATGCCAGAAAAACAAAATCACTCGGCACACCATATCACGGACTGAATCATTCACTCCACCAAATCAGCGATTTGATCACATCTACATCGACATTGCTGGACCACTTCCGCTATCCAACAGTTTTACATATTGCCTCACAGCAATTGATCGTTTTTCTCTCATTGGCTAGAAGCATTTCCCATGTCAGACATTACAGCTGCTACCATAGCAAAAACAATTTTCGGAGGCTGGATTACCCATTTTGGCATCCCACAGTGCTGACAGGGACATCGAGGATCCATACCACTGCCTTTCATCCAGCCGCCAATGGAATAATTGAGTGATTTCACCGACAATTCAAGGCAGCAATCAAGTGTCACTCTTCTGATTGCTGGATGGACGACCTGCCCATCGTACTCTTGGGAATCCAGACCACCTACAACATTGACTGATGCCACTGCAGCCAAGCTAGTTTACGGACAAACACTGTGCTTGCCTGGAGAATTTTTTGTAACCACCAACGACAGTATGGTAGAAATGTCCAATTTCGTCTCTGATCTCAGGCGCATAAAGTGATGATTATGTCCTGTTTCATCGCATAATCACAGCATGCACCAAACATTTGTATTCTTGAGATCTGCAGACCTGCTCACATGTCTTTGTATGCCACGACGCCACATGTAGACCTCTGCAGTCCCTATATGACTGACTATTCAGAGTACTTCAATGCTCCAGCAAGACATTTGGGATAAACATTAATGGCGAAGAAACAACCGTCACCACTGACCAGCTGAAACCAGCTTTTGTTACCAACCCTACAACAACATGCATCCCAACTGACACAAAAAGGAAACCCCATGAACAAGCTCAGAGAAAATCAAACCACTTGTCACAACATGCTCTGGACAATGGGTATGCTTTAATGTAAGATATTGTTAGCACTCGCGGGGGAGTACTGAGGGCATGAATGCCACCAGAGGGTCTTGCATCAGCGNTTTTCTTGTCCCAGATATCTGTGAAAATTCCTCACCACCCAGCTGGCCCCATTGTGGACCTGGCCAAACTCACAATGGGTATGAGAAAAAAGCAAAAAATGAAAAAAAAAAAAAGTTTCACAACATGCTCTGGACAATGGGTATGCTTTAATGTAAGATATTGTTAGCACTCGCGGGGGAGTACTGAGGGCATGAATGCCACCAGAGGGTCTTGCATCAGCGACACCAAAGAA